GTGAGACCCCGTCTCAAACAAAAGGGAAAAAAAACCAGAAGGGATACAGAGAAGGCTTTCTGGAGGAGGGGGAGTAGGAGCTGGGGCTTTGATGGGTAAGTAGTTCACCAGAGCTAGGCCAAGGAAACAACCCTGAGCAGGAGGCAGAAAAGTCTGGTATGAACCAGCCATGATGGCTCACGCCTGTAATCCCAGCACTTTGGGAGGCCAAAGCAGGCGGATCGCTTGAGGTCAGGAGTTTGAGACCAGCCTAGCCAACATGGTGAAACCCCAACTCTACTAAACATACAAAAATTAGCCAGGCATGGTGGCACATGCCTGTAGTCCTAGTTACTCGGGGCGGAGGGATGAGAATCACTTGAACCTGGGAGGTGAAGGTTGCAGTGAGCCAAGATCACGCCACTGCACTCTAGCCTGGGTGACAGAGCGAGACTCTATTAAAAAAAAAAAAAAAAAATTAGCCAGCCATGGTGGTGTGCACCTGTTGTCCCAGCTACTCAGGAGGCTGAGTTGTGAGGATCGCTTCAGCCCAGGAGGCTGAGGCTATGATTGAGCCAGTGCACTACAGCCTGGGCAACAGAGCAAGACCCTGTCTCAAAAACAAAAACAACCAGGCGTGATGGGTGGCCACATGGAAGGATGTGGGCTTTAGCAGTTTTCATCAGTCCCACAGCTCCACTTCCGGACTGGGGACATGGAGGCCAGCAGCCCTGACCTGTACTTATCACCCACAGATACCACTGCATCCCCACCCAGCGCATCCCCGAGCTCCAGCAGCCCCGCCTCCCCAGCTGCTGCCGGCCACACCCGCCCCAGCTCCCTGCATGGCCTGGCTGCCAAGCTTGGGCCACCCCGCCCCAAGACTGGCCGTCGCAAATCCACCAGCAGCATCCCGCCCTCCCCGCTGGCCTGCCCGCCCATCTCTGCGCCCCCACCCCGCTCGCCCTCACCCCTGCCCGGGCACCCGCCCGCACCTGCCCGATCCCCGCGGCTGCGCCGAGGCCAGTCAGCTGACAAGCTGGGCACAGGGGAGCGGCTGGATGGGGAGGCAGGGCGGCGCAGTCGTGGGCCAGAAGCCGAGCTCGTGGTCATGCGGCGGCTGCACCTGTCCGAGCGCCGAGACTCCTTCAAGAAGCAGGAGGCCGTGCAAGAGGTTAGCTTCGATGAGCCGCAGGAGGAGGCCACTGGGCTGCCCGCCTCAGTGCCACAGATTGCCGTGGAGGGCGAGGAAGCCGTGCCAGTAGCTCTCGGGCCCACCGGGAGAGACTGATCCCCCTGCCAGGTCTCTCGCTGGCCTCAAAGTCACACGTTTCCTTGTGCAATGTTTTTTCTGTAAAGTCACGCCTGGATGGGGACTGAGCCACCAGCCTGACACCCAGAAGGCAAGAAGCCATCTTGGTCCTTGCTGGGAGGTGGAGACATCACTTCCTTTGTGTTCTGGTGTCAATCAGGGGGCTGGATGGGGCAGGAATGGGGGATAAGGGTAGCTTTGTAAATAGCAGCAAATCCCTGCAACTAATTTATTACTTTTTTTTTTTTTTTTTTTTTTTTGAGACGGAGTCTCACTCTGTTGCCTGGGCTGGAGTGCAGTGGCGTGATCTCAGCGCACTGCAACCTCCGCCTCCCGGGTTCAAGCGATTCTTCTGCCTCAGCCTCCCAAATAGCTGGGATTACAGGCGCCCGCCACTGTGCCCAGCTAATTTTTTGTATTTGTAGTACAGACGGGGTTTCACCATGTTGGTCAAGCTGGTCTCGAACTCCTGACCTCATGATTTGCCCACCTCAGCCTCCCAAAGTGCTGGGATTACAGGCGTGAGCCACTGGGCCCAGCCTAATTTATTACTTTTTATAAGCGATAGCCAGACTGAGCCGCCCCCTGCAGGCGGCCGCCAGGTCTTGCCCCAGGCACCTGGGACCCTGTTTGCAGGCCCTGCCCTCTGGGCTGAGAAGGAAGCACTTTGGACAAGTCATCTGTGTTTGTGTTTTCTAGTTTTTCTGTACTTTTTAAGTGTTTTATGTTACCTGGTCTCATTCCCTTCCCCACACCCACCCATTTGAGGGGATTGAGTTGAAGTCACCTGTACTAGCCCAGTTTGGATACAACCTGGAGTGTCCGTAAACGATTCCCCTCACCCACAAAACAATGTAATCCCAACGATGGACTGGATTCTGAAGGCCACTTCCCACTGTCATAGCTGCCATCCCCAGGCAGTGCCTACTCTCTATATAGAGAGTCTGCCTCCAGTCCCCCTGGCTTCAGCCTGGAGAAGGGATGTGGGAGCTGGGGCTTTGATGGATGAATAGGTGTTCACCGGATCTGGGCAGAGGGGTCATCCGCTCCCAAGGTGGGCACTGATAAAGGAAGGCATAGGCCTCACCTGGCACTGCCAAGGCAGCCTCCGGAAATGCTCAGCTGTCTCGGGGCACACTCCAGTATTCCAGTCCTGCGGGGTTATGTTCAGCTACTTCCGGAAACAGTCGGTGTCCCCTCCCCTCAGGCTCTGCCTCGGCCTCACTTTGTCTAGTCTACCCTGGACAAGATGCCATGTGTTTGAGGCCCAGCAGAGTGAGCCCTTGGCCGTGATGTATCTGAAACACTTGTTAGGGGTTCCCTCCATATGTCAGAGCCTCTCTGGGATGAAGTTCAAGCAAGAAAACCCAGTTGAGGCTCGAGTTTGAATTTCAGCTTCACTGTGTGGCTCTGGGAAAATGGCTTTCCCACTCTGTGCCTCAGTTTCCTTGTGTTTACAAGACTAATCCCATTGACTGTTTATTAAGCACCTACTGTGTGCCAAGCGCTTTTACGTGGCTTCTCCCTCAGCCAGCCTTGAGAAGGCTAGAGGTGGCGTCATCACCTCCATTTTACAGACAAAGCAGCTGAGACCCCAGCGAGGGGCGGAAACCTGTCCCATGATCACCCAGCAGGAGTCGTGGCAAAATGGAGCATCAGCCAGACCCTGTTGTGGGCGTTGTCATCAATGGAGCTTGAATGAAGGGTCTGGTATCAGATACAGCCGACTCCAGCCCCAGCTCATCCCCCATGATGCTGTGTGACCCACTGGGCACTCTGGTGAGGGAGCTTTCCAGACATCAAGAGCCCACTCTGCATCCCTTTCTGAGTCCCCTGCCCAGCACTGCCTAGTGTTGGAGGGTAGACCAAGGCTGTGCATGACTCACCCCCTCCTTCCATCCTGGAGCTGGCAGTGAATAAAAGCCCGTATTTACAAAGATGAGCTCCAACGTCTGGATTTGTGAGGGGCTGAGAAAGGAGGAAGGGAAGAGTGGGGAGGGGAGTGGAGTGAAATAGACCCATGGCTTAAAGTCATTGCAAGTGGGTTTTGAGGGCTGCATAGGAGTTTCCTGTTGAGATTCTTCCTGATGCCATCGCTGGTAGTGGCCTCCTGCTACCTATGAGTACTCCATCATAGCTCTGCCCTTAAAAGCTTCCTCCAGACATCTGGGCCCTGAGCTATGTTTTGTTTTGTTTTGTTTTGTTTTTTGAGACATAGTCTCGCTCTGTCGCCCAGGCTGGAGTGCAGTGGCACGATCTCTGCTCACTGCAAGCTCCGCCTCCCGGGTTCACGCCATTCTCCTGCCTCAGCCTCCCGAGTAGCTGGGACTACAGGCCCCCGCCACCACGCCCAACTAATTTTTTATATTTTCGGTAGAGACGGGGTTTCACCGTGTTAGCCAGGATGGTAAACCTCGTGATCCGCCCGCCTCGGCCTCCCAAAGTGCTGGGATTACAGGCGTGAGCCACCACTCCCGGCCTATGTTTCTTATTTTTATGTTTTTGAGACAAGGTCTCGCTCTGTAACCCAGGTTGGAGTACAGTGGCGCCATCACGGCACACTGCAGCCTCGACCTCCTGGACGCCCTGAGCTATGTTAATAAAATAAATAAGCGGCGGTGCGCAGCGGTTCACGCCTGTAATCTCAGCACTTTGGAAGGCCGAGGCGGGCCGATCACCTGACGTCAGGAGTTCCAAACCAGCCTGACCAACATGGAGAAACCCTGTCTCTACTAAAAATACAAAATTAGCCGGACGTGGTGGCGCATGCCTGTAATCCCAGCTACTCGGGAGGCTGAGGCAGGAGAATCGTTAGAACTCGGGAGGTGGAGGTTGCGGCGAGCCGAGAAAGCGCCATTACACTCCAGCCTGTGCAACGAGAGCGAAACTCCGTCTCAAAAAATAATAATAATAAAATAAGCAATCGTTGCGTCCTTTCTATCCTGGTCTTAGCTTGCGCTCTGCCATAAAACTTCCTCTAGCCGAACGCAGCCCAGCCCTAGAGCAATCCGTTACTTCCGGGGCGCTCAGGCGGCTTGCAAACCTTCTTGGCTACACCCCCATCTCCGAGAGCGTTCGGCTATTTCCGGAAACAGCTGGCATCTGGGCTCAAGTCCGCTAAGTTCTAGTGCCCGTAGGGGTCGAGATCGTTGGCTGTTTCCGGACGCTCTGGGTTGCCATGGAAACTCCTTCAACCCGGCTTTCTCGGACCTCTGCTTTTTGCCGCAGGCCCTTTCCCCACTCTAGTGCCCCCTGTTTGCTGAGCTTGAGAACGCCTCATTTGCCCTCGGAACCATCTATGCTTCAGCAATTTCCATAAGCTGGCGGTCCCTCTGAGTCTAAACTCCCAAGGCCTCCATTGGGCATTGAGCGCATTCGGTTATTTTCAGAAACGCTCGGCGGTCTCGGGGATCCGCCTCCGTTGTGCCAGTCCAGCGGGAGAGAATGTTCGGCCATTTCCGGAAGCGCTCGGGCGTCTCTAAGCCCTGCCGAGCTCAGCCGAGCCTAGCCTCGGAACTTTCGCCGACCCGATTACACTCGGCTACCTCCGGAAATGCTCGGCTGTCTCGGGGCTCCCTCTGGTCCACCAGTCCCGCGGGATTACGTTCGGTTACTTCCGGAAACACTCGGGTGCCCCCTCCCCTCAGACTCCGCCTCGGCCTCCGTTCACCAGCCCGGCCCGAATACGCTCGGGCATTTCCGCCGGGGGCGGGCCAGGCCGCTCGGAACCGTGGCGGCGGCAGAGGCGGGGATCCCGCGGCTGCGGCGACGGTGGCCGCGGTGGAGCCACGGGGCGGGCTCGGTTTGGTGTGACGGCGACTGCGGCGGCGGTGGCGGCCGCGACCAGGTGAGTCCTGACTGGCCCTCGTGGCGGGGGCGGCTGGGAGTGTGCTTAAACGCGGGGCGCCTGGGGACAGTGCGGGGCCCCGGTGGAAGCCAGAACGCAAGCGCCAGGCTGCGTCGGGCCCCGCGGGAACTGGGGGGGGCCGCAGGTAAGGGGGGGGCCTCGGGCTCGGTTCCGCAGCGGTGCAGCCTCCCTGGGACGGTCGGGGCAGAATGGGGGTATTCCCCGCGTCCAAGATACCGGACTTGAGCCGCGGCCCCAAATGAAGGGAGGCCCTGCCTGGAATGGGGCTTCGAATAGCACCGAGGGGCGCCCAGGCATTGTGCGGGGCAGAATAGGGTGCAGGAGGGCCGGGGGGTAGGTCAATCCCATTTCCGGTCCCCTAGCCGGGTAGTCGGGTCCATGCAGACCCAAGTGCGCGTCTGTGTGAGCGCGCAGGCCCTGCCTTCACCCGCGGAGCCCCCAGCCCTGCCTGCCCCGCCCCTCCGCCTCCCGGATTCGGGGAGCGCTGCTCCCAGGGCGCGCACACCGGGGCGTGGGGGCGGGCTGGCAGGCAGATCCAGGCGGTTCCCTGGGCATCCCCTCTCGGGGCCTCAGTTTCCCCACCTGTAGAACGAGGGTAACAGAGACCTGGGAGTGGGTAAGTTGGGCACCCGAGAATGTGGCGCCCCTCCGCCCTGCTCGGACACCTCTTGGGGCTCTCCATGACTGAAGGATGCTCAGAGCCTCCACCTGACACTCGGGCCCCTTGGTGGATAGCACCTATCCTTATAGCCACCCTGAATCCTTGACAAGCAGCTTACCCGCTGCCAAGCCTTTGCATGTGCCGTTCGTTCCCTCTGCCTAGCGCGCCTTCCTATCCACTGTGATGATCCATTCTCCAGAACAGCACATCCATCCGTCACCCTAGCCCTGTCCATCACAGGAGGTCTGAACCTGCAGGGCTAGGCTGGGAATGTGTGCCCATCTCTGCCTCCCCAGACTGGGGCTCCTGGGGAAATGATCAATGCCCTGCGGCCGGCAGCCTCCCCTCCTCCTCAGCTGCAGTACCCCCACCTTCTCCTGGCTCCCTGTCCCTCCCTGGGGCTAAGGTTCCCTCTAAGCACCTCCCCATCTGCATTTTGCGCCTCCTCTGGGCCCCAGGCTGGAGCTACCTGCCAGCCCACTCACTCCTCCTCTGCAGAGACCGGAGGTCCATTTGCTTGGACTCACCTGTAGGCCTTTGCTTGTGCAGGGGCCTCTTCCTGGACTTCCTTCCCTACCTCTTAGTTCAGCTGGCCTGACCCCTCCATGGAGCTCCCAAAGCAACCGGAGTGGCCCCCATTGTGTCCTCCCTACCCTGGGTATCTGGCCACCTGGCTGCTGCCCCCTCATGTCCAACTGGGCCTTGAAGCCGGCAGATCTAGGTGGAGGTCCTGGCTTCCTCCTGGCCTACCACACGGCCCTAGACACCTCCCTGCTCTGAGCCTCAGTTTCCCCTTCTGTAACAGGGGCGATGAAAAGCTTGTTTACTGGCCGGGTGTAGTGGCTCACGCCTGTAATCCCAACACTTTGGAAGGCAAAGGCGGGAGGATTGCTTCAGCCCAGGAGTTTGGGACCAACCTGGACAACATAGCAAGACCCCACCTCTGTTGAAAAAAAACAGGCTGGGCAAGGTGGCTCATGCCTGTAATCCCAGCACTTTGGGAGGCCAAGGCGAGTGGATCACTTGAGGTCAGGAGTTCGAGACAAGCCTGGCCAACATGGTGAAATCTCATCTCTCTACTAAAAATACAAAAATTAGCTGGGCATGGTGGCATGTTACTTGGGAGGCTGAGGCAGGAGAATCACTTGAACCTGGGAGACACGTTGCAGTGAGCTGAGATCACGCCACTGCACTCCAGCCTGGGCGACAGGGCAAGACTTTGTCTCAAAAAAGAAAAAAAAAGAAAAACTGATTTACTGAGCATGTAGTATACCTGGGTCAGTTTCTTGGGAGCTCTACTCCCAGCAGCTCCAAGGGAAGGCTGTCAGTAGACCCATTTTACAGATGGAGAAGCTGAGGCCCTGAGAGGGACTGACCCCAGGGTCACCCAGTGATTCAGGGAATTCCAAATCAGGATTTGGGCCCATTTCCATGTTGGGGGTGAGAGGAGTTTGCCTGGCTAACGCTGCCCTATCCCTGTCTCCCTAGGTCGGCGTCCTCGGCTGGCCGAGCATGGTGGCAGCCTGCACCCTTGGCTCCCTCGTCTGGTGCAGCCAGCAGAGCCGCCACCCTTGGGCGCCCATGGCCCTCCATGTGAGGGCGTGAGCGGCCTGCCCCAGCCTCACCTGCTGATGGAGGACTCAGTGGCCCAGTGACCTGACACCACGCCACTAACCCCCTCCCACCAGTTGACGAATGGTGGACCCAGCGACGAGTGGCCCTTGTAAGGGTCATGGAATAATTTGAAGCGAGGCATGAGCGGCCCCCGTGGTCGCCTGTGACTGCTGGAGATAGAGGTCCCAGCACCCCAAGCCAACCCAGCGGACCCTCCCAACCCTGCTCCAGCCAATGGGGCCAGTGGGACTCCTAGCAGCCACCTAACCATCCAGAGCCCACCCCACCCACGCGGCCATGGCGGGTCCTGAGGGTTTCCAGTACCGCGCTCTGTACCCGTTCCGCCGGGAGCGGCCAGAGGACCTGGAGCTGCTGCCTGGCGACGTGCTGGTAGTGAGCCGGGCGGCCTTGCAGGCACTGGGTGTGGCCGAGGGTGGCGAGCGCTGCCCACAGAGCGTGGGCTGGATGCCCGGCCTCAACGAGCGCACACGGCAGCGAGGTGACTTCCCTGGCACCTACGTCGAGTTCCTGGGGCCTGTAGCCCTGGCCCGGCCCGGCCCTCGCCCACGGGGCCCCCGCCCACTGCCCGCCAGGCCCCGTGATGGGGCCCCTGAGCCAGGTGAGCAGCCATCAGGGGAACTGGAGAAGGGGGGGGGGTGGTCCCCTCAGACCCTTGGTCTCCTCTTCTGTCCAGTGAGGCAATGGGATCTCCAAGGAAGGAGGAAAAGGGACATTTGGTCATTTGACGAATGTCTTCGCAACTGTCAAGTGCTAGGCTCAGCGGTGGACACAAGGCCTGGTCCTGCCCTCATGAGCTTCTGGTTCAAGAAGGGATGAGAGTGTGTTAGGAGGTGACACATACCATGAGGAAGGGGGCTTGCATGGAAAGATGTGAGAGTGGAGACTCCAGGCAGTGAGGGCAGCAAGGGCAGAGCCTGTGGAGTAGAACTCTAATGACCGGAACAGCCAGCAGGAGGACCGGAGGGAGGAAGGGGAGGGCAGTGTGCGCCGGCCTCAAGGAGTTGGTGGGATTGATTTTGAGGACAATGGAGAGTGTTCAGTAGGATTCAGAGGCTCAGCCTAGCTTTATCCTGCATTTTGCAGACAGGGTCCCTTGAAGAACCCCTTTGGAGACCCTGATTTCCAAAATGAAGCCACAAGGAGAGTGGGATGTGGGCTGTTCAACTGAGGCCACATAGCACAGTGGAGTATGAGGACCCCACATCCCTCCCCAAAGACCCTTGGCCATTGCCACTTGCCAGGGATGTGCCAGATGTGGAGAATCGAGGGCACCAAGCCCACTCAGTGATTGCTGTTTGATGGGCAGGGAGTGTGGGCTCTGGCCGGGGAAACTGAGGCTCGGGTTGCAAGAAGGAGGCCGAGGGGTACTGCATGCCCAGCAGGGTCTGCTCCGACCTTCCCAGCAGCCCAGCAAAAGGCCCTATGTGCAGACCGGCAGGCCTGAGCGCAAGGCCGGCCATCAAATGCCGCACTTGGAACCAGTTGGTCACCCAGGGAGGCCAAAGCCCCGGGAGGTGCCAGGCCTGCTTTGTGCCAGGGTGACATTGCCCAAAGGCAAATCAGAGTCCCTCAGCGCAGGGCGGAATAGGGGGTGCCGAGGTGGTGTGACACTGGCCCCGGCCTCCGGCATCTGGTATCTCCAGGGTCCAGATCTGCGTCCTGCCTCGGCCTGAAGGAGCAGGAGGTGGCCCCGTCCGGGCTCCCAGCCAGAATCTGCCTCTCCCCCTGGTAACAGCCACCTCCTTCCTCTGCCTGGCCTCTGTCCAGCCACCATACACGGCCCCACGTGGGGCGGCTGCCCAGCCCCACCCTCTGAATCTTCCAGGGTTATGTGACCTCGGCCAGAACCCGCCCCCTCGAGGCCTCAGTTTCCTCAGCTGGAAACAGCAGGGCTGGTCCCTGGGGATGCTGCGACCCAACCCCTCGGAAATGTGCTGAAGTCACCTGAGCCCCACCTGTCTGTGCACCCACGGGGGAGGCTGCAGCCCCTGAGCCACAATTCCTCACCTGTGAAGTTGGGCTGATGCAGTTCTGATGAGAACCCCCTCCCGATTCTGCAAACTGATCCCAGGCCACTCTCAGGGTTGAGTTTCCCAACCCAGCGGCCAGAATGTCACCCACCTCCTCTCCCCTTGTCTTTTTTCTTTTTTTTTCCTTTTTTATTTTTGGCGTTTTCACTGCAGCTGGGCCTTTCTCCAGCTTGAGGCGCCACCTGGCCCATCACTCAGGGAGGCCTCGCAGGCCCCAGCTTGCCCCTGCTGTGTGCCAGGGCGTCCCCGCCGAGGGCCAGAGCAGCGTCCAATGGTGGCAGACAGCGTGCTGCTGAGGCGGGGATGCTGCACACAAAAGGCCCTGTAGAGCTGGGAAGCCAGGGCTGGGAGGGGGCTGGGCCCAGGATGCCGCCGGCACCCGCTGGGAGGGGTTTCGGTTTTCCAAAAGGGGAGCAGTAATTTTCTTTCTTTTCTAAATTTTAACTTGGGGAGAAAATAATTTTTTAGAAGCAAAATGATTAAGAAAACGGGTCATGGTCCTTGGAAGGAAGCTGTTCTGACCCAGGCTGGGATATTTTGCTTTTCTTTCCTTTCATCCACTTTTTTGTTTGCATCAAGAAGGGAGAAGGCCGGGCGCGGTGGCTCAAGCCTGTAATCCCAGCACTTTGGGAGGCCGAGACGGGCGGATCACGAGGTCAGGAGATCGAGACCATCCTGGCTAACACGGTGAAACCCCGTCTCTACTAAAAATACAAAAAATTAGCCGGGCGAGGTGGCGGCGCCTGTAGTCCCAGCTACTTGGGAGGCTGAGACAGGAGAATGGCGGGAACCCGGGGGGCGGAGCTTGCAGTGAGCTGAGATCGCGCCACTCACTCCAGCCTGGGCGGCAGAGCAAGACTCCATCTCAAAAAAAAAAAAGAAGGGAGAAGCGGGCTGGGCACAGTGGCTCACGCCCATAATCCCAACACTTTGGGAGGCCAAGGCGAGAGGATCACTTGAGGTCAGGAGTTCCAGACCAGCCTGGCCAACATGGTGAAACCCCGTCTCTACTAAAATAACACGAAAATTAGCCAGGCATGGTGGCACCCACCTATAATTCCAGCTACTTGGGCACAAGAATCGCTTGAACCCGGGAGATGGAGCTTGCAGTGATCCAAGATCATGCCACTGCACACCAGCCTGGGTGACAAAGCAAGACTCCATCTCAAAACAAAACAAAAAAATACATTAATTAATAAATATATTTCCCTTGTTTGAAGCCACCTAGTTGGTAATTTTTTTGCGGCAGCCACTGAAAGTCATATAGCAGGTTTGGGCTCTGCCACAACCTGCTGTGCAATCTTGGCCACAGGACCTGCCCTCTCTGGGCCTCAGTTCCTTCAAATGAAAAGTGGGGCTGGGCGCGGTGGCTCAAGCCTGTAATCCCAGCACTTTGGGAGGCCGAGACAGGCGGATCACGAGGTCAGGAGATCGAGACCATCCTGGCTAACACGGTGAAACCCCGTCTCTACTAAAAAATACAAAAAACTAGCCGGGCGAGGTGGCGGGCGCCTGTAGTCCCAGCTACTCGGGAGGCTGAGGCAGGAGAATAGCATAAACCCAGGAGGCAGAGCTTGCAGAGAGCTGAGATCCGGCCACTGCACTCCAGCCTGGGTGACAGAGCGAGACTCCGTCTCAAAAAAAAAAAGAAAAGTGGGCCAATGACATTGCCTCTCATTTTTTTTGAGACTGGTTCTTGCTCTGTCACCCAGGTTGGAGTGCAGTGGCACAATCCTAGCTCACTGCAGCCTTGAACTCCTGGCCCCAAGCGATCCTCTTGCCTCAGCCTCCTCGTTTTTTTTGGTGGTGGTGGTTGTTGTTTTTGAGATGGAGTTTTGCTCTTGTCACCCAGGCTGGAGTGCAATGGTGCAATCTCTGCTCACTGCAACCTTCGCCTCCTGGATTCTGATTCTCCTGCCTCAGCCTCCCAAGTAGCTGGGATTACAGGCGCATGCCACCATGCCTGGCTAATTTTTGTATTTCTAGTAGAGACGGTTTCACCATGTTGGTCAGGCTGGTCTCAAACTCCTGACCACAAGTGATATGCTCACCTCGGCCTCCCAAAGTGCTGGGATTACAGGAGTGAGCCACCGCTCCTGGCCTCTTTTTTTTATTTAAGAGATGGGGTCTCACTCTGTTGCCCAGGCTGGTCTTGAACTCCTGGACTCAAACGATCTTCCCACCTTGGCCTCCCAAAGTGTTGAGATTACAGACATGGGCCACTGCACCCCGCCACAATAAAAACTTATTCTGTCAGGTTTCTGGAGGCTGGAAGTCCAAAATCAGGGTCGTGCCCCCTCTGAAGTTTCCTTCCTTCCAGCTACTGGTGCCTCCAGGCATTCATTCGTCTCATGCATGGGTTGATTATTCCAATCTCTGCCTTGGCTTTCTCTTTTTCTTTTTTTGAGACAGAATCTCACTCTGTCACCCAGACTGGAGTGCTGTGATGTGATCTTGGCTCACTGCAACCTCCGCCTCCTGGGTTCAAGCAATTCACCTGCTTCAGCCTCCTGAGTGGCTGGGATTACAGGCGTGCACCACCACACCTGGCTCTTTTTTTTTTTTTTTTTTTTTGTATTTTTTGTATTTTTAGTAGAGATGGGGTTTTACCATGTTGGCCAGACTGGTCTTGAACTCTTAACCTCAAGCGAGTGACCTGCTGGTCTCAGCCTCCCAAAGTACTAGGATTACAGGCGTGAGCCACCGCACCCGGCCTATTGATTTATTTTTGAAACAGAGTCTTGTTCTGTCGCCCAGGCTGGAGTGCAGTGGTGCCATCTTGGCTCACTGTAACCTCCACCTCCCGGGTTCAAGCGATTCTCCTGCCTCAACCTCCTGAGTAGCTGGGACTACAGGCACCCACCACCACGCCCAGCTAATTTTTCTGATTTTAGTAGAGACAGGGGTTCGCCATGTTGGTCAGGCTGGTTCGAACTCCTGGCCTCAGGTGATCCACCCACCTCGGCCTCCCAAAGTGCTGGGATTACAGGCATAAGCCGCCATCCTGGCCGGCTTTCTGTTATTACAAGGACATCAGCCAGTGGGTTTAGTGCCCACCCTAATGCCAGGCTGGTCTCATGTACAGATCCTTGCTTTCCTTACACCTGCAAAGACCTATTTCCAAATAAGGTCACAGGTACCAGGGATGAGGACTTGGACATATCTTTTTGGGGACGTTATTCAGCGCAGTCCACCTGTTCTGTGAAGTTGTGTGAACTCCTGGTATTTTAACCCAGAAAATTGTGTCCCATCAGTTCTGCCCTCTCCTAGCCCCTCTACCCAAGGTCTTACAGCCTCCTGCAGATGGCAGTCAAGGTGCCAGGCACTTGCCTGAGCTGGGCCCTGCCTCAAACTGCCCTAGCTGAGGTCCAGCCGGCAAAGAGAGGGGCTGGGCTCCTTCCAGGAACCCCACCAACAGGCCACCCCCCCTTCTTCCCCCACCAGGCCTCACACTCCCCGACTTGCCTGAGCAGTTCTCCCCACCCGATGTGGCGCCCCCTCTTCTGGTGAAGCTTGTGGAGGCCATTGAAAGGACAGGTGAGTTCCAGTCTGGCTGCAGCCCCTGGATTCTGCTTGCTTACCTCTAGTGACAGGCGACTCATCCCCTCACAGGGCCTCCAAGCTCATGCTGCATGGAAACAGGCTGAGCCTGGATGCCCTGGGCCTCTGTGTTGACTAGGGCACAGAGTGACTCCTAAGGGAAGATGGGAAGGTGAACATGACCAGGCCACTGCATGTGCTGTGCCCTCTCCCAGCTCTCCCTCCCCACCCCTCCCATGCCCTTATCTCTGGGCGGCAAAGCGAGACTGCAGGGGATTTGAGCGGCCGGCCCAGGCTTCAAGGGGGTTGGGGCAGCATTTGAGAGCTGACTCGCCTGTTCCCCTCACCCCCAGGGCTGGACAGCGAATCTCACTACCGGCCGGAGCTGCCCACACCGCGTACAGGTAAAGGGGAGCCTCAATGGGGTGGGGCGGGGGGAGCCTGGGGTCCGCAGTATACATGAGTTGGACATGTCCCCCCCACTGCACCCGCAGACTGGACCCTGAGCGACGTGGACCAGTGGGACGTGACAGCCTTGGCTGACGGCATTAAGAGCTTCCTTCTGGCACTGCCCGCACCGCTCGTGACCCCCGAGGCCTCGGCTGAGGCGCGCAGAGCCCTCCGGGGTGAGCCTGGCGATGAGCCCAGGGGAAGGAGGGACCTGTAGCGGGCGGGAGGGCCCAGGCCCGGCTCACCCTGCCCTGGCCATCTGTCCGCAGAGGCCGCGGGGCCCGTGGGGCCGGCGCTGGAGCCACCGACGCTGCCGCTGCACCGCGCGCTCACGCTGCGCTTCCTGCTCCAGCACCTGGGCCGCGTGGCCCGCCGCGCCCCGGCCCTGGGTCCCGCGGTCCGGGCCCTGGGCGCCACCTTTGGGCCGCTGCTGCTGCGCGCGCCGCCGCCGTCCTCGCCGCCGCCAGGGGGCGCTCCCGACGGGTGAGGGGCGGGGCGCAGCCGGAGCGAGCAGGGGTGGAGTTTGGGGTGGGGTGGGCGGGGCATGGCCAGAGTGAGCAGCGTCTGGACCCTAAGAAGGGAGGGGAGGGGATCCAGAGTGAGTGAGAAGCTGCGTTCTTGTGATGACGGAGAGGGGACCTGGGATCCTGAGTCATGAGACAGAAGGTGAAGGGGCCTAGTCCCGAAGCATGTGGGTGGAGCCTGCACCTTCCCTTCTGCTCATCGTAGCTCCAGTACTACTCTCTTGCTCGCCTTTGTGTGAGGATTTATGGAGCACTTACTGCATACAGCTATGAGGGAGCTGGCCTCGCACTTGTGCCTGTATCATCTCCCCCTCCCCCCTGCACATACCTGCACATACCGTCTCATATATATCCCCAGGCGTGCAAACGCCTGTGCACATGTGTGGGCAGACAGACCCCACCCAGCCCTCACCGCACTCCTCTTCCCCCTAAGGAGTGAGCCCAGTCCTGACTTCCCGGCGCTGCTGGTGGAGAAGCTGCTTCAGGAACACTTGGAAGAACAGGAGGTTGCGCCCCCAGGTGAGTCCCCTATATTGCTGTCATTTCTTCCCGTTGAGGGCCGTGATTGCTGATTCCTGGATGCTGCCGGCATCAGCAGGCCGGTTGCGGTGGGAGGCAGCCACAGTATCCAGTCAGTGCTCAGGATGCATTTATTTTCCTGTCCCTCAGCGCTGCCGCCTAAACCCCCCAAGGCAAAGCTGGCCCCTGCAGGCCTGGCGAATGGAGGGAGCCCACCCTCCCTGCAGGATGCCGAGTGGTACTGGGGGGACATTTCAAGGTAGGTTGCTGGCAGGGGGTCAGGGACCAAGGAGGTGTCACAGGTCAATCAGGGTCTCCAGGTGGCTCAGCAATCCCAATGTTGGATGTCCCCACAGGGAGGAGGTGAACGAGAAACTCCGGGACACTCCTGATGGCACCTTCCTAGTCCGAGATGCTTCCAGCAAGATCCAGGGCGAGTACACGCTGACCCTCAGGTGGGGGCCTGTCCCTGTAAGGATGGCCGGGGGTCACAGGTCATGGAGACTGGGAGTTCAGAGGGATGATGGGACATGTGCAGTTTCAAGGATGGGGAGCTGGACGCGGTGGCTCACACCTGTAATCCCAGCACTTTGGGAGGCTGAGGCTGGCAGATCACCTGAGATCAGGAGTTTAAGACCAGCCTGGCCAACATAGTGAAACCCTGTCTCTACTAAAAAATAAAAAAATTAGCCGGGCATGGTGGTGGACGCCTGTAATCCCAGCTACTTGGGAGGCTGAGGCAGGAGAATCGCTTGAATCTGGGAGGCGGAGGTTGTAGTGAGCCGAGATTGCACCACTGCACTGTGGCTTGGACAACAGAGCAAGACTCCGTCTCAAAAAAAAAGGGGGGGATGGGGATTGAGAGTCAGGTGCTGGGTCCCACTAGGTGCCAACACCCCCTCTCCTACACCAGGAAAGGCGGAAACAATAAACTGATCAAGGTCTTCCACCGAGATGGGCACTACGGCTTCTCAGAGCCACTCACCTTCTGCTCCGTCGTGGACCTCATCAATCACTACCGCCACGAGTCGCTGGCCCAGTACAACGCCAAGCTGGACACACGGCTCCTCTACCCTGTGTCCAAATACCAGCAGGTCCGTGCCGACGTGGGAGCCAGGGAGGGTAGCACTTGGCCGGCCCCAGGCCTCAGTTTCCTAGAAAGACCCAACCAGGCCATGCATCTCCCCTGATTCCCCCATGTATCTCCAGGACCAGATCGTCAAGGAGGACAGCGTGGAGGCGGTGGGCGCCCAGCTCAAGGTCTATCACCAGCAGTACCAGGACAAGAGCCGCGAGTATGACCAGCTCTATGAAGAGTACACACGGACCTCCCAGGTACTCCAGGCCCCGCACATGAGGGAAACCAAGGCATAGAGGGGCAGTGGCAAGGCCGAGAGCAGGACGACCAACCCCAGAGGACTTGAGGATGAACATCCGGTTGCAGGTCACAGAGCAGGCACTTAGCACCAAGGGCTGTTCTAAAAACATAGAAATAAGGCCAGGCACAGTGGCTCACATCTGTGCACTTGGGAGGCTGAGACAGGAGGATCACTTGAGCCCAGGAGTTCAAGATCATTCTAGGCAACATAGAGAGACCCCTCTACAAAAAAATTTAAAAATTAACTGGGTGTGGTGATGCACGCTTCTACTCCCAGCTACTCAGGAGGCTGAGGTGGTAGGATCCCTTGAGCCTGGGAGCTTGAGGCTGCAGTGAGCTGTGATCACACCACTGCAGTCCACCCTGGGTGACAGGGGAAGACCTTGTCTCTAAAAACAAATAAAAACAGAATTAAGTGTACAAGGTTGGGCAGGGTGGCTCACACCTGTAATCCCAGCACTCTGGGAGGCCAAGATGGATACCTGAGGTCAGGAGTTCAAGACCGACTTGGCCAACATGTTGAAACTCTGTTTCTACTAAAAGTACAAAAATTAGCTGGGCGTAGTGGCGAACACCTGTAATCCCAGCTACTCAGGAGGCTGAGACAGGAAACATTGCTTGAGCCTGGAAGGCAGAGATTGCAGTGAGCCAAGATCATGCCACTATATTCCAGCCTGGGTGACAAGAGCAAAACTCGGTCTAAAAAAAAATAGGCCGGGCGCGGTGGCTCAAGCCTGTAATCCCAGCACTTTGGGAGGCCGAGACGGGCGGATCACGAGGTCAGAAGATCGAGACCATCCTGGCTAACACGGTGAAACCCCGTCTCTACTAAAACTACAAAAAAACTAGCCGGGCGAGGTGGCGGGTGCCTGTAGTCCCAGCTACTCGGGAGGCTGAGGCAGGAGAATGGCATGAACTCGGGAGGCGGAGCTTGCAGTGAGCTGAGATCGGGCCACTGCACTCCAGCCTGGGCGGCAGAGCAAGACTCCATCTCAAAAAAATAAATAAATAAATAAAAAATAATAGACCGGGCGCGGTGGCTTAGGCCTATAATCCCAGCACTTTGGGAGGCCGAGACGGGCGGATCACAAGGTCGGGAGATCGAGACCATCTTGGCTAACACGGTGAAACCCCGTCTCTACTAAAATATACAAAAAATTAGCCGGGTGCGGTGGCGGGCGCCTGTAGTCCCAGCTACTCAGGAGGCTGAGGCAGGAGAATGGCGTGAACCCGGGAGGTGGAGTTTGCAGTGAGCCAAGATCATGCCACTGCACTGCAGCCTGGGCCACAGAGCCGTACTCCATCTCAAAAAATAATAATAATAATAATAATAATTAAAAAATAAATAAGTGTACAAGCTTTTACAAAACCAAAAAAGGACAGATGAGAAGGGTCCAACCAGCCTCACAAGAGTTGCTGAGCCAGGACCTGGGGAGTGTCCAGGATGAGCCTGTCTCTGGCTGGGCCTCAGTTTTCCCATCTGCAGAATAGAACCATGGATCTTGATTACTTCCATCCCCTTCAACCAAGATGTTATTCAAGATGAAATCATGCCAGGTGCAGGGCGTGCACCTCTAATCCCAGCTACTTGGGAGGCTGAGGCGGGAGGATCACTTGAGCTTGAGCCTAGGAGTTCAAGACCAGCCTGGGTAACATAGCAAGACTTTGTCTCTTAAAAAAATTAAAATAAAATAAAAATTAAGCAAGAGGTTTTGTCACTCCAGGACTGTGCTAATAAGCTTCTTTTGCAAGTTAAGAGGGAATAGATTCAGATGGAACAGCTGGGAATTCCTCAGTCCTCCCTAGCACCCTAAGGGTTTTCTTTCTGTCCTCTTTTTTATTTATTTTTTTGAAACAGGGTCTTGCTCTATCATCCAGGCTAGAGTGCCGTGGCATGATCTTGGCTCACTGCAACCTCAGCCTCCCTGGTTCAAGCGATTCTCCTGCCTCAGCCTCCCGAGTATCTGGGACTACAGGCACATGCCACCATGCCTGGCTAATTTTTGTATTTTTAGTAGAGACAGCGTTTCGCCGTGTTGGCCAGGCTGGTCTTGAACTGATGGCCTCAAGTGATCTGGCTGCCTCAGCCTCCTAAAGTAAAAAAAAAAAAAAATTAATAAAATTAAAAGATGGGCCGGGCACAGTGGCTCATGCCTATAATCCCAGCACTTTGGGAGGCTGAGGCAGGGAGATCATCTGAGGTCAGGAGTTTGAGACCAGCCTGGGCAACATGGTGAAACCCCATCTCTGCCAAAAATACAAAAAAATTAGCTGGGCCAGGTACAGTGGCTCACACCTGTAATTCCAGCACTTTGGGAGGCTGAGGCAGGTGGATCATGAGGTAAGGAGTTCAAGACCAGTCTGGCCAACATGGTGAATCCCCATCTCTACTAAAAATACAAAAAATTAGTCAGACATCGTGGCATGCACCTGTAATCCCAGCTACTTGAGAGGCTGAGGCAGGAGAATAGCTTGAACCCAGAAGGTGGAGGTTGCAGTGAGCCGAGATCACACCATTGCACTCCAACCTGGGACAGAGCAAGACTCCATCTCAAAAAAAAAAAAAAAAAAAAAATGAGCCAGGCATGGTGGCGCACACCTGTAATACCAGCTACTTGGAAGGCTGAGGCAGGAGAATCACTTGAACCCAAGAGGCAGAGGTTGCAGTGAGCCAAGATCACACCACTGCTCCAGCCTGGGTGACAAGAACGAGACTCCATCTCAAACAAAAAATTTTGAGGTGCGGTCTCACCATGTTGCCCAGGCTGGCCTCAGACTCCTCAGGGTTCAAGAGATCCTCCCACTTTAGCTTCCCAAGTAGCTAGGATTACAGGCAATCGCCACCAGCCCTGGCCTCTGCCCCTTTTTACTGATGTGTTAGCTGAGGCTCTAAATGGACAAAACAACTGTCCAGGATCAGTTAGGAGCACTGTAACTTCAGAATTGGCTTTGGCCCTGAGCCTCAGTTTCCCTGTTAATAGTTGTTACTTTGTTGGGAATTGTTGGAAGGGTCCGTGAGACAATGTAAGGAAATGTAAGCATCTCCCACAAGAAGCACTGTGAGCTGTAGCAACTAGATCTCTCATTCATTCCCAGCAGTGTTAACAGGTCCAGGTGTTTGTGGATACCTATAGGAGGATGTAAAGAAGAAGAGGGTTTGGGGGGTGGGGTTTTGAAGGCTGAATAGGAGTTCACTTGGTACAGCAGGAGTTAGAAGAATGACACTCCGATAGAGGGACCAACTTGAGCAGTCTCCATATTAGAGTTGAGATGTGCCTTTACCCTTCACGAGGGCCTTTTGGGGAGTCCCAGGAGGTGCTGAGCTGCGCCCCCTCCTCCAGGAGCTGCAGATGAAGCGTACCGCGATTGAGGCCTTCAATGAGACTATCAAGATCTTTGAAGAGCAGGGCCAGACTCAAGAGAAGTGCAGCAAGGAATACCTGGAGCGCTTCCGGCGTGAGGGCAACGAGAAAGAGATGCAGAGGTGAGTCTGGCGCCTCTGCCCTGCCCCACCCCACCCTGGATCTGGTGCGGTACAAGCGGGGAAGGGAAGGAAGTAGAAGGAGACCAGCCACCTGGAGGCGAAGAGTAGTCTGTTGAAATGGGCTTTGGGCCTGGTGTGATGGCTCAGGCCTGTAATCCCAGCACTTTAGGAGGCTGAGGTAGGTGGATCTCCTGAAGTCAGGAGTTTGAGACCAGCCTGGCCAACAAGGTGAAATCCTATCTCTATGAAAAATACAAAAATTAGGCTGGGCGCGGTGGCTCACGCCTGTAATCCCAGCACTTTGGGAGGCCGAGGCAGGCGGATCACGAGGTCAGGAGATCGAGACCATTCTGGCTAACACAGTAAAACCCCGTCTCTACTAAAATACAAAAAAAAAAAAAATTAGCTGGGCATGGTGGTGGGTGCCTGTAGTCCCAGCTACTCAAGAGGCTGAGGCAGAAGAATGGCGTGAACCCGGGAGGCGGAGCTTGCAGTGAGCTAGATCACGCCACTGCACTCCAGCCTGGGCGACAGAGCGAGACTCTGTCTCTTAAAAAAAAAAAAGAAAAAAAAAGGAAATGGGTTTTAAAGGATGAATAGGACTTTGTCAGAAAGAGAATCAGAGGAAACAGCATATGCTTAGGCTCAGACACTGGAAGCACATAGTCTGGTACAAAGTAGGTCCTTGAGAAGATCCTGGAGGCCAGGCGCAGTGGCTCATTCCTGCAACTCCAGGCACTTTGGGAGGCCAAGGTGGGAGGATTGCCTGAGCCCAGGAGTTTGAGACCAGCCTGGGCAACATGGCAAAACCTCTCTCTACAAAAAACATTAAAATATTAGCTGAACATGGTGGTGCACACCTGTGGTCCCAGCTACTCGGGAGGCTGAGGTGGGAGGGTCACCTGAGCCCAGGAGTTTGAGGGTGCAGTGAGCTGAGATAAAACCCTGAGGTCTCTGCACTACCCCACCCCTCCCACAGGATCCTGCTTAACTCTGAGCGGCTCAAGTCCCGCATTGCTGAGATCCACGAGAGCCGCACGAAGCTGGAGCAGCAGCTGCGGGCCCAGGCCTCGGACAACCGGGAGATCGACAAGCGCATGAACAGCCTCAAGCCAGACCTCATGCAGCTGCGTAAGATCCGAGACCAGTACCTCGTGTAAGTGGCGGCTCCCCCATGACTGCTGTGGCTCCAGGTGTCTCAGTCTCTCTCCCTCCACCAAGTGGCCCTTCCTGGGCCCCAAGACACCTTATCTGTCCACAAGCCCTCTTCCTCTCCACCAGGCCCAAAACTCGGTTCCTCCTGGGCCCCTTGAACGTTTTCCCATAGATCAGCCTCAGCTTAGACATGTGTGCAATGGGAGCGTCACTCCTATCCCATTCCATTTTGTGGAAAGCTGGGAGCTTTCTACAAAAATTCCTGCTGGGCTGGGCGCGATGGCTCACACCTGTAATCCCAGCACTTTGGGTGGCCAAGGCGGGCAGATGGATCACTTGAGGCCAGGAGTTTGAGGCCAGCCTGGCTAACATGGTGGAACCCCATCTCTACTAAAACAAAAAATACAAAAACCAGCCAGGCATGGCGGGGTGCGCCTGTAATCCCAGTTACTCAAGAGACTGAGGCAGGAGAATCGCTTGAACTGGGAGGCAGAGTTTGCAGTGAGTGGAGATTACGCCAGTGCAGTTCAGCCTGGGCAACAGAGCAACACTCTGCCTCAAAAAAAAAAAAAAAAAAAAATCGCCTGCTGTGCATCCTACCATGCTGGGTGGCTGTGGCAGCCCTGTCCTGGGTTCGAATCAGTTCAAATCCTGCCTCCACCCACCAACCTCCTGAAGACCTCAGCCAGAGTGTCCACCTCCCTCCTGAGCCTCAGGGAAGGCACTGTCGCATGCCAGGTGCCATGCTAAGCACCGTGCTTGTTATGAGTTCATTTCTTATGAGTTCATTTCCAAGCCCTTTGTAAAGTTTGCCTTTTACAGCTGGGGAGACTGAGACACAGAACCTACAGCTGCCCTGTGCAAAGGCCAGCAGTGCTGGAGTGAGCCTCTGGTGACGATGAGGTGCCTGGGCTGGCATCTTCTTGGGGGACTCCACAAGCATTAACAGAAACAGAAAAATGAGGGGTGTGGGTCAGGGTTCCCCAGCAGAGCTGGGGGAGCCACCCTGGGTTCAGGCTGCCCTGAGCCAGGTCAGCACTGCCCTCTTGTGGCAACCGGAGATATTGTACCCAGAACCCTCTCTTCTCAGCCAGACCCTGCCTCCCACAGGACAGGCCCACTGTGGGCTCAGCACCCACACAACTGCACAAGCCCACCTTTCTCCTGTTGCTTCTCAGGTGGCTCACCCAGAAGGGCGCCCGGCAGAAGAAAATCAACGAGTGGCTGGGGATCAAAAATGAGACTGAGGAGTGAGTGACCACCTGGAGGGAGGCAGGGAGGGTTTCCCAGAGGAGGGGGCCATTGGGGTGGGTTTTGAAGAATGAGTAGGAGTTCACCAGGGAGGAAGAATTGTCCAGGCAGCTGGGGAGCCTCGGAAGTTGGCAGATGAGTGACCAGGGCCCTCCCCACCATCCCCCGCCACGCCCCGACCCCAGCCAGTACGCGCTGATGGAGGACGAGGATGATCTCCCGCACCACGAGGAACGCACTTGGTACGTGGGCAAGATCAACCGCACGCAGGCAGAGGAGATGCTGAGTGGCAAGCGGGATGGCACCTTCCTCATCCGCGAGAGCAGCCAGCGGGGCTGCTACGCCTGCTCCGTGGTGTGAGTGGACCGTAGCGCTGGGGATCCCCGCGTCCCTCCCAGAGCTCTCATTGAATGCCTGATGCGTGCCAGGCCTTGAGGAGTCCCTGGTGGGGTCATCGGGCACAGGGGAGCACGCGGCCCTGGGGCGGGGAAAGCTTGGCGGGGAGGCCAGCCTCCCGACCCGCCCTCTCCTTTGCCCCCACAGGGTGGACGGAGACACCAAGCACTGCGTCATCTACCGCACGGCCACCGGCTTCGGCTTCGCGGAGCCCTACAACCTGTACGGGTCGCTGAAGGAGCTGGTGCTGCACTACCAGCACGCCTCGCTCGTGCAGCACAACGACGCGCTCACTGTCACCCTGGCGCACCCAGTACGTGCCCCGGGCCCCGGCCCGCCGCCTGCCGCCCGCTGAGCGCCGAGGACCCCCCCCCCAAGCGGAGCCGCCCCTGGGCCCGTCTGCACCGGAGGCTGCGGCGGCAGGAGCCACGGACCAGACCAGCCACATCCAGGGGTCTTCATTTCTACGGCTCTGGCTTTTGTTTGGGGTTCTCTCACCCTCTTTCTCTTTCCTTCTCTCCTTCCCTCCCTCTCTCCTTCCCTCCCCCATTCTCCAGATCTCCTGTCTCCTTTTCTCTCTCTCTTTCTTGGTCCTTGTCTTTCTCCATGTTGGGGGTCCTGCCTCCCCAACCCCATATCTCCCTGTTCCCCGGGCATTGCCCTCTCCATGGCTCTGGTCACCCTGACCCTCTGCCCTGCCCACCGCAGGTCCCCTGGGGCCCCGGAAGCCCCTTCTGGCTGCACCTGCCATGTTTACAGAGGGCCCCTGGGCTGCGCGGCCCCAGCCTGGGCACCCTGATTTTTAAGCCATAGACCTGGGGTCAGGGCAGGAAGGAACTTCACTCCGCTGCTTCCGAGAACCTCGGCCGTGACGTTCGGGGCCGGGCGGGACCCGCCCCACAGACTCCAACTTCCCCTCCAAACCCCGAAGTGAAACCCGCCACCGAGTTATCCCCACAAATGGGGCCACTGCGAGAAGTTCCCCCACCCCTAAAAAAATAATTAAACTCGCAGGCCGGGCGCTTTGGCTCACGCCTGTAATCCCAGCACTTTGGGAGGCCAAGGCGGGCGGATCTTTTGAGGTCAGGAGTTGGAGACCAGCCTGGCCAAAATGGCGAAACCCCGTCTCTACTAAAATACGAAAGTTAGCTGGGTTTGGTGGCGGGCGCCTGTAATCCCAGCTACTTGGGAGGCTGAGGCGCGAGAATCTCTTGAACCCGGGAGATGGAGATTGCAGTGAGCAGAGATCGTGCCACTGCACTCCAGCCTGGGCAACAGAAGAAGACTCCTCCGTCTCAAAAAAATAAACTCGTGAGCTGGTCCCAACCCCCCCTAGGAATCACAGCTCCCCGTACTGGTGCCGCCGCAGTGGCCAAGTTGCGACACTGCCCACGGCCCTTCCGCCTGATGCAGATTCAGGGCTTCTCTTCGATCATGTTGGGTTTTGACTCTGTTTTTCCTTGACTGCAAAACCCTCTTTCCTCTCCTCTTTTGGGACAAGAGCCCTGGTTTTCTACGCTGCCCTTGGCCACCACACTGCCTGCCCGGCGAGCTGGGAGGCAGGTTTTGTACGGTACGTTGTTATTGATATGATATAAAACATCAAACGTCGTGGATGATTCTGTTGTCAGTGACTGGGCTTCAGTACCATCTCTGCGTGTCGGGGACCGTGGTGTTTACAGGGTCACAGCAGGTCGGGCCCATGGGTTTAACTCCAAGCCACCTCTGAGACCCGACAACCCCTCCCTCCCCCAGTTTAGCTGCTCAAGCCGGGAGCAGTTGAGGCAGTGCCCAAGGTCATACAGGAGAGATATTCAAATCCTGAGCTCCCGACCGCTCAGGGGACCCCAGACCCCATCCAGCCACTCAGGTGCTTCCAAGCTGCTCCCCTCTGCCACCCCCAAACTTGAATCCTGTCGCAGCCATCAGCTGTGTCCTTGGAAAAGTCATATCCCCTCCCTGATCCACAGCTTCCTCATTCATTGCCAAGTGGTGTCAAAAGCCACAACCCTCCCATGCCACAGGGAGGGGTCTCCTGTGTCTTTGATGTTCTCAAGGCGTCGGCACCTCCATCCAGCACTGGAGGCTCTTCTCTGATCTCTCCTCACCCCCTCCCATGCACAGACCGCCAGGTCCCAGGAGACGCTGAGCAGAAGCCCTGTGGGGTTTTTTGTTTCTTTTTAAAGAGTCAAGGTCTCGCTCTGTCACCCAGGCTGGAGCGCAGTTGTGTGAACACGGCTCGCTCGTGGCTCACGGCCTCAAACTCCTGGTTTCCTGCCTCAAGCAGTCCTCCCATCTCAGCCTTCTGGATTACGGGTGCGTGTCACCATATCCAGCTAGTTGGTTTTAAATTTTTTTAAAAACAAGATCTTGCCGAGTACAGTGACTCACACCTGTAATTCCAGCACTTGGGAAAGCCGAGGTAGGCAGATCATTTGAGGTCAGGAGTTTGAGACCAACCTGGCCAACATGGCAAAACCTGGTCTCTACTAAAAATACAAAAAAAAAAAAAAAAAAAAAATTAGCCAGGCTTGGTGGCACGTGCCTGTGATCCCAGCTACTTGGGAGGCTGAGACAAGAGAATCCGTTGAACCTGGGAGGTCGACGCTGTACCAAGCCCTGCACCAAGGTTGTGCCACTGTACTCCAGCCTGGGTGACAGAGTGAGACTCTGTCTCAAAAAAAAAAAAAAAAGATCTTGCTGTTTTCCAAGTGGATTTCAAACTCCTGGCCTCCAGCGATCCTCCTGCCTCAGCCTCCCCAAGTCACATGGGCCACCACGTGTGGCCTCATGGCATCTCTGACCTGGACTCCTGTTTACCAGCCTCCCATCACACCCAGAATCCACACCACCACTGCCATGTCCTTGTCCCTTCTGCCCTCCCCAACTCTAGGGCCTTGCTGTTCTTGTCTGTTCTGTACAGCCACCTCTCAAGGCCCAACAAGGCTGAACCTGGGGCAAGTGTGTAAACAAACCTCCCCTCTGATCCAGGCTACTGCTGGGACCTTGGAACAGGAGCTGCCTCCCTTAGTCTCAGAGCCCCCCAACCTTGCCAGGCACTGTCCCTGCCATGTGTCCTGTCTAGAGACACCCCATAAATAACTCCAGCCCAGATAGTGCCTCTCACTACTTAGGTTCTCACAGGAGGAAGGTTGCCGTCTTCATGGCCCCAGCTCTGTTGAGCTAGGGGTGGAAGAGCATAGCCTGTGTGGCTTCTAAAAACACTCAACCACTGGCTGTGTGGCCTTGGCAAGATAGCCTTCCCTCTCTGATCAGCCATTTATTTGTTACCAACTGGAGTCAGCAGCCCCTACCCCCAGCCCCAACTGGATGCTTCTGAGGGTTCAGTGATAAAATGGGTTGCGGGCCCACTCTATACCTGGCAGCAAGCCAGAGAGCAATACATTGTGGGGTTACATTTACGATTTCTTCCAATAGGGCTGGGCTGGTAACTACTGGAAAAATTGTAGCAATTATATTTATGGTTATTTCTTCAATCCCACCCGGCATAGGGTAAGCACCAGACTTGAGGCGGTGAGTCCTGGGGAGGCTTTGAGAAGGAAAAGGGCTTTGCCAATGGTTTGGTTGTCTGAAGGATGGGCTCGGGGACCATCCAGCCCCCGGGACTTCAGGGAAACTCCAGCTCCCAAACCAGCTGCTGTGTGCGTGGTCGGGGTCTTCCACACAGCTAGAAGGGGGCAAAACAGGGGACTCAGCTATATCTTCCAGCCATCTTTGGGATATTTTCTTCCTTAGGATCCGGTGTGTCTTGCCCTGAATGTGAGGCCCTGCAGGGTCTGAATGTCTCAATTATTCCCTCAACACTCCAACCTCCATCTGGGCCTTTTTTCCAGGCTATTCTCTCTGCCTTCACTGCTGGGGCCACTGTCCTGTGTAGGCACCAAGGCCTGACCATGCCACCCGGAAGCCCCAACCTGGGACAACTCTCCCCCACCTGCCTCTGAGCTCTCCATGGTGACTCTTGTTCCTCAAACCTTATCCTTCTCCCCATTACACAGAAGGGAAAGCTAAGGCTCCGTCACTCAAATCCAAAGCCAGACGGACTCCAAGCCGCCCCACCCCTATCCCAGACAGCACAGGCCCCCGCTTTCCCCCATGGGTGCCCCTTGAAGGCCAGGTTGCCCCCCACCCTCCACAAGCCTTAGATGGTGAAAAGAAGGAAGGCCAGTTCTCTTCACCCCAAGTCGGAAGTGGGGCTGGAGGGGGGGTACCCTAGAGAAATGACACGCCGCTCCCTGTGCCAGCTTCTGCTTTCTGGCATGGCTGTGGTCAAGCCTGAGTCAGTCCCACGGGACCACGGAGCCGGGTCTGGAGCATCGGGGTCAGGAGCTTGAGGGGGAAGGGTCAAGGGGCAGGACATGGGGGTTGGGCGTGAGGGAGGTCACGGGCCAGGCTGGAGGGAGGGGACCTGGCCACACAGGCCTTGCCCACTCTCAGGGGGCTGAACGTTTCAGTTACTCCCCCAACACCCCAGCCTCCATCCCATCCCCAGCCTCCATCCCATCCCCAGCCTCCATCCGACGTCACCCCGTTAGATCACAGGCCCACTCTGAGAGTGGGTCCCGGGCCTCAAGTCCCCTAGCTGCCCCCAGAAAGTCTAGGAGTGCGTGGACACACCGCCATTCCTCTCAGCCTCTTTGTGTCTGTCTCAAAGGCCCCACCTCACCTCCCCTAAAAGGTACTCTTGCGCCAGGGCTCACATGCCTGGGCAGGGCTGATTGCCAAGGGGCCCAGTGACCTCGTGACTGGGGACCCAGCACCTGGCAGGGGTGGGGGTGGGACACCCAGAGGGAGGAGTGGAGGAGGGAGGGACGCTGGCTCCGGGCCGAGGGGCGTGGGCACCGGGAGGCGGGCCCGGGTTAGGGGCGGGACCACCCCCTGGTTAAAGGCGCTCATTTCCCAGGCAGCCGCTCCAGCCGCCACACTTTTGCCCCGCAGCGATGTCCCTGTCGCCACTTCTGCTGTTCCTGCCACCGCTGCTGCTGCTGCTGGACGACCCCACGGCAGCGGTGCAGGCGTCCCCTCTGCAAGCGTTAGATATCTTTGGGAATGGGCCGCCAGTTAACTACAAGGTAGGGACGGCGACAGGGCGGGCAGGCTGGAGGGGACAGGCGCCCTGTCGGGACAGGCGCCCTGTCGGGGCAGGCGGCTCCTTCTTTCTCCCCAGACTTCACAGGGGAAGACCAGGGCCCCGACTGGAAAAACCCCGTTCATTTCCCGGCACTGCGGCCAGACTCCCTCCGTGCCGTTTCGCTTTCGCATCCCGCATCTGAGACGCGCAGTTGCTTCCACCCGCCTCGTCCCGCCCAAGGGTTCATTGAGCTCCTATTGTGTACTTTTGGGGCAGGAGCTGGGGTCTCCTTTTATGGTCCAGGGCACAAGTTCAGCAGCTGGCCGAGGGCCACCGGCATGCGTTCTTGCTGCTACCCCTGGTGCATTCATTCCAGCCAGGGCAGGGCTTGCGTGGCTTGCGTGTCTCTGGGACCTACTAGGCAGATGCCCTAGAAGCTGAGCGACTTGCTCAGGGCTCCAGCGACACGGGCCGCCCGCCACCCCTTAGCTGAAGCCGGAAGTCAGCACCTATTAAGTGCCGCCTCTATTTGGTCGGACTTGGAAAGGGTTCACATGGGTCCCTTGCTCAGCTCAGAGTCAAGGTCTCCTGGAGAAGTGGCAAGAAATGGGCATGGGCGAAGGCCGGAGGCAGTGACTCACACCTGTAATCCCAGCACTTTGGGAGGCCGAAGTGGGTGGATCACCTGAGGTCAGGAGTTCTAGCCTGGCTAGCCTGGCCAACATGGTGAAACCCCGTCTCTACTAAAAATACAAAAATTATCTGAGTGTGGTGGTGGGCGCCTATAGTCCTAGATACTTGGGAGGCTGAGGCAGGAGAATCGCTTGAACTCAAGATGTGGAAGTTGCCGTGAGCCGAGATCACGCCACTGCATTCCAGCCTGGGCAACAGAGCAAGACTCCCTCTCAAAAAGAAAAAAAAAAAAAGGCTCAGGCTGGGCGCGGTGGCTCACGCCTGTAATCCCAGCACTTTGGAAGGCTGAGGCAGGCAGATCATGAGGTCAGGAGTTCGAGACAATTCTGGCCAACATGGAGAAACCCTGTCTCTACTAAAAATACAAAAATTAGCTGGGTGTGGTGGTGCGCGCCTATAATCCCAGCTACTCTGGAGGCTGAGGCAGGAGAATCGCTTGAACCAGGGAGTCGGAGGTCACAGTGAGCCGAGATCGCACCACAGCACACAGAGTGAGACTCCATCTCAAAAAAAAAAAAAGTCTCTGCTGGGCGCGGTGGCTCACGCCTGTAATCCCAGCACTTTGGGAGGCCGAGGCGGGCGGATCACGAGGTCAAGAGATCGAGACCATCCTGGCTAACACGGTGAAACCCCTTCTCTACTAAAAATACAAAAAAATTAACCAGGTGTGGTGGCGGGCGCCTGTGGTCCCAGCTACTCGGGAGGCTGAGGCAGGAGAATGGCGTGAACCCGGGAGGCGGAGCTTGCAGTGAGCCGAGATGGTGCCAGTGCACTCCAGCCTGGACGACAGAGCGAGACTCCGTCTCAAAAAACAAAAAACAAAAAA